GATCTACGTGTTAAATAGAAGTAAACTGCATCAAAAAATCGCTGTTACAATTTTTTTTTTAATTTTCCTACCAAATTTAACCAATTTTTCTGGGCTAATCGCTATGTTTCGCACGTTCCCGGCCGTGATCTAAGCGTCGTACAAAACAAATATAGGTATACAAGTGGTGAAGAATGAAATTCTCTACAACCTTGTAATTTCAGTATGCTATGTATTTTCAACAGAAATTGTCAAAAAATGGCGAAAACCATGACAATGTAAATTTTTTTTGCAGTTTTTGCTATTTTTTTACAATAAAAAATGCTATTTTTAAGAAACCTTCTATACAATAAATGTGGCAAATTAAATTCTCCACATATTTGTATATAACCATTTTTTACGAAAAATGCAAAATAAGTTTGCGAATTGGGAAAAACCCAAAAAAACCGTAAATCCAAGATGGCGGAATGGTGCCAAATGAAATTTAGGGACAAGACTGTAGATCCATGAGCTACGTGTCAAGTAGAAGTAAACTGCATCAAAAAAATGCTGTTACAAATTTGTTTTAACTGGGCTACATGTGAAGTAACAAGTTTTCTATTTCTAAGCAGACATTTTTTTGTATAATTTTTTAAATTTCCACAATTCTACTTTGTGAATTTCCAAAGGCTTCTACAAACGAATTAAAAACTTCTACAAACAAATGCATGCGTATGGGAAGCTTGCTACTTCATATGTATGAGCGCCTGGTATCGGGAAATGAAAGTATCGTATTGTACAATGAAAAATTGGGTCTTTGTATAAAAAAGAGTCCACTTTCTTTATAAAAATATGATGTTGGCTAAATATTCGGAGCGCCCTACATTGTTTCTCCATGTTTGCTATTTAACATAAGGGTCAGCTCTAACATTAACATTATGTAGCATTAAACGAAAGCTTCCAAAAATACTCAAGAAATACTTGTGAAGGAACATCTTTTTTGTGGCAGTTTAACAGCATGGTACTGCTGATTTATTTTTTCGAAACATATTTTGTTTGAGTACTTTTTTCATGTATACAGCGCTCAATATCTTCACTTCTCTTCCTTCCATGCCCTCTCTGTTAGAGTATGAGTAGTTTACATTTTTGAAAAAAAAAAATCACAGTGAAGCAAACTGAATTCCGATGCAGACCTTTATTTTGAACAATTTAATTAAAAAAAAAAATAACTTAAAAAAATTATTGCCGACGAGCTGTTTTAAACTCTCGATAAATGTGAGATTTCAATTTTCTTTTGCGAGTTATAGAAGGTCGAGAACTCTCCCCAGACTCAAAAATGAAGATAAGTACAATAACAGACTATTTTGCGAGATGTAAGTAATCAAAACCACTTGAAGGATTGAGCAATTTCGTACCCAAAAAATAAGCACTGTACGATAGTTAAAAAGGAAATGGATACTGTCGTTTCTGAATATCCACAGGAGCAAGTAAGATTCCCTACAGAATTTTTAAACTCTCTAACACCTTTTAATTCTTCTTGATTGAGTAGCCATTTATAATTAAATTTTTCAGCTAAAAAAGTGAAGCGATTGAAAGTCATAATTTATTTGTTGACAGTACATAGTACCTTTTAAATTTTTCGGACAGTTAAAGGAAACTCAACTTAAAAGGTAGAACAAAGGCATATCAAACAGGTGTTAGAGCAAAAACCACGTTTATGTGTATTTTGTTGTTGCTTCTCTTATCTAAAGTGTCAAAACTGTTCTGATTTTTTTCTTGTAAATCAAAGAGTACCATGTGAAATACAAAAAAGTAAAAATTAAAAATTAAATTTGGGAAAAACACTGGTGCGACTTTCTTTCTTAGCAAATTTTGTTTGCTTCTCGAAGCACTGATTTTTTGAAAATTGCATCGGGCCGCAAATGTTGGATGTATCCTTCTGACTTTCATCTTCACAATCAAGCATCATGGCACCATCGTTGTTTAAACACCATTGTTTTGCAAAAATTTCTTCATTCTCATTCTTTCGGTTGTTCAGAATTTGTAACATCATCAGCGTTTTTCGATTTTAGTTTTTGAAATTAATTTTTAATCCTTTCTTCTGTGACTGGTTTGAAAAATAAATACATAAATAAATTTTTATTTACTAGGAATGAAAATTTGTAAGAAAATTCTGTTTTGAAAATCGTGGCTGCCAGTCGAGTTAGTTTAAAATCGTATTATATTGTTAAAAAGGCACCCCGTTTTTTATAATAATTTAAATTATTGGAATCAAGGACAATGAAGTTCTCAGATCTGCTTAGTTCCCGGGTGACTTCTTGAAAGGGTTCACCTGTAATGAATAGCTTGTAATTCGTTTTTTAATTAGCTGAGCTCTACTTTTCCTAGTTGCAGGCAGCCACAATTAATTACTCATCGCTAGCGATGCATCCAGTTTTTTCAACAGACCTTTGGCAAATAATATTCCATAGTTACATACTTCTTAAATAATTAAAGGTTATCTTTTAACGCGTAAATTGTCGATTCTCTTTATAAATAGCTAGACATTGAATATTTCGGCTGGAAATACCTATTGAAGGATCTTACTCTTTGACTTTAAATTACAAAAGAACGTAGGGGGACTGTTTTAACGTAGCAACAGGCAAAAAATATTGGCCACAATTTGTCATTTTGTTTGCCAGATATACGTTTTATCAGTGCACTTGCACAATATTCGCATTCGAAAAGCTCCGCATTGATTATTGCGAATGCGAAAGCGAATTCGAATGTTAAAATTAATGCGGAAGCTCCGCGGTTGCGAATGCGAATATCCGCAACAACACTGCTTCGAAGTAAGAAGTGCAATCCCTCAAAAAGAAGTACTGCACTTCCTAAAGAAGCACGGTTGGTCACATTATATATGACTCAATAAGCGGACTGTTAAATTACATTTTGGCTTCTTCTTGAGTATTTTGCTTTATTCAATGGAAAATATATTGTTCATCCTGTTGTTAATTGTTACAATTTTAGGAACTACCATTTAAAGCTGAAAGAAAAAGTCTACTCTCTTATTAAAAAGTTTTCAAAATCTGGTGTACAGTTTTTTAGCTGAAGTGTTACGTTACAGAAAAAGACTTTACGTTTGTGATATATCTGTAGCGTAAATTTTATAATCAGGTTTTCAAATGGCTATTGTTGTGTTATTCGCAAAAATTCAAATAGTATACGTTACAAATAGTTTTTCACTTAAAAAACATGTCTGAAGTAGAGTAAGGCGGCTAATTTTATTTTTTTGCTACTGTCGGCTATATATAGAATAAATACATAATAGATAATAGATTTGTTTGTCAAATATTTCTTTATTTAACTTACAAATAATATATATAAATCATGCGGAGTTAAGAACCTATAATGTACAAAAATGGCGATATTTAAGTATAAACTACGATTTTGTTTGTTATACTTTTTTGATTTTCATTCATTAAAAAGGTGTCTCATGATTAAGGGAAGGAGATTCGTGTCAGTATTTATGTTGCCCGATACCTTGGAATATGTATGACCCCGATTCAATGAAACATTTGCGAAATCTGTGAAAATAAAATTTGTCTTGGTTTCGTTTTCAGCGATTTGGCCATATGGGGAACAACAACTAAATAAATTTGTCTATATAAATTCGTAGGATATGGGGTTTTCTGAGTTTGCCCCTAATATTGAAAAACTGGCTTTCATTGAGAACTACCTGCATTTGTATACCACCGAATTACCTCAGTGGCTCTTCTTATCTTTCGCGTATTGATATCTGTTAAAAATGAATATAAAAGAAAAAGGTAACCAAATTGGCAATATTTTACTTAAATGCAATGCAATACAAGCTATCATAACTATGTATTTTGCTTTGAATTTCCACAATCGCAAGCAGGAACATTTTCGTAAAAGTACACTGCTTTAGTTTTAATTTATTAACGTAATTGTGAGGGAACTGTATGTTCCAAAAATGAGCCTGCTATGTATTTCAGACTTCTTTCTAGACTATGAATCGATTGATGTAGGATCCAAAATAATTTATAAATCATGTATTTTTCATACCATTGCCCGACGATGAGACTGCGACAGCATTGAATTGAAAGATGTATTTTTGATTTGTTCCCAAACTCGGTCTGCTTCTGCTTTATCGACATATATTGAGCTATTGTAATATATATGGTGATCCTGTAGAATAATATAAAATGACAGAAGAAACGAAAATTACTATAATTCTTTAAGCAAATATATCACTCACATTCGTAACGTTGACTGTATAACTGTTTTTTTCTATTTCGCTAACGGTTTCATTATCCGGCACATCCACATTATCAATAAGTTTTTCCTCGGTAGTTTCGGTCGATTGATCATTGCTGCTTGTTTCCTGTACAAAACCGGCCGCGGCCCCTAGCGTCGATTGTATAGGATCGGAAACTATCGTGGTTTTTGGCTGTGACAACTGTGAGCCAGAATCTTTTCTTTGGCCAGTACCATTTACACCCAGTAGAGGTTTATCGGCTACATTATATGGTACTACAATGGATGATATGTTCGATGTTGTTGCTGTTTCGGCGGTTTTGTGAGCATCGCTGGCCGTTCCATTGGCATTCTGTGACACACTTTCATACTGGTTTTTTGCATAAATTGGCTGAGTTTGTCGCTTCTGTCGCAATTTTACGAGAGAAATTTGCACGTCATCATACGATGCCGATACCGGAGACACCCTATATAATTCAGCTGAAAGGGAATGAAAAAGTTAAGTTTAGTTTTTAATTTACATACAAACATTTAGATTAGGCAACGATTACTATGGATGCGTGTTCTGACGGACCTGACTACTTTTCCACAAAATTAATTTCAATTGCTGTAATGCAACATATTACTTGCTGCTAAGTATTTAATTTCTTCAGCGAATTTCTCCCTATGGTTGCTGACAATTATCTCATATCAAATAAAATATAAAATTGAATTTTAGTATTGTAGCAGAAAATAAAATAAGGAAGAGATATGTTTGTCCATTTTTATAACTCGTTCCAGCCAAAAAATGTGTATTCGTGAAATAAATGAGAATTATTTTTGGAAGCCTTCTGAAGAGAAACAGAGTTTTCCGATCGAAAAATATACAGTGCCGGACAAAAGTATTGGCACAGAGAATTTTTCGCAATATGTATCTGCAAAGTTTTTTATTCTAATTTATTTTTGATGTTTTTTTATAAAAATATAGTTCGTACTTCACCAAAAAACATAAAAACAAAATCTCTAAACTTTGTGCAAAATTGAGGAAAATTCAATAAATTTGCATACTAATTTGCAACTTTCTATTCAGATTTTTTTTTAAATTCTAAGTATGCAGTTTTATAGCCCATCTAATTTTAGTATAACAAAGGGCAAGCTTGAAGATGCTAAAAAATCGAGTCGATTTTTTGTATGGAGAAAATGCGCAACACCTTCCACTAAAAAAATTGCCAAAAATCAACGCGCTATAAAACTGCATATTTAGAATTTTTCTAAAAAATCTGAATAGAAAGTTGCAAATTAGTATGCAAATTTATTGAATTTTCCTGAGTTTTACACGCCAAAAGGGCGTAAGCGACAAAAAGTAAATTTTTCAGTAGGCGTTTTTTTATTAACACTGCAATTACTGTAGATCAGGAGTTCCCAAACTTTTTTCAACGCGGCACCCTTATTGTGCGAAAAAATTTCGCGGCACCCCTACTCTTCAAATGTCTACGAAAACAAGAAAACACAATGCAAACTTTATGCTCATTTAGGTTTAATGTGAGGACTGAAATTGTTATGATGATTTCATTAATTCCTTTAAATTTATTGGGAGCTTTGACAATTTTACCCTGAAATCATTTGACGCTGAAAGCGTGCTGGTGCATTTGTTTTTAACCAACTTCACAAAAAGGAGAAGGTTATCAATTCGTCGAAATATTTTTTATTATTATTTTTTTAATGTATGGTACAGCATAACTTTGGACCACGTTAACCGATTACTATAATTCTTTTTTTTTTTAAGGAAAGGTCCCATTCTAATTTGGTTTACATCCGATAATTGGATCATAAAGAGATTAACGATAATCTTAAATTTGTATATGGGAATTGAAGTCGGTTTTGTTTTTTGCTTAAAAATTACTTGTTTATGTAATGGAGCATGAGCCAGCGACGGCCAGACCTTCGTCATTTTATAAAGCTTCTCTATGTATGCCCCCAACATAGGTAATAACGAAACCAGACTATGAAATTTGGATAGTGGTGGCTTTGGCAGGTGGCAGGTAGTAAAGGTGTATAAAATAGCACCTCAAATTCGTTATAGTATAAAGGTCAGATTTTATATATTTTATTCGTAATAATATTAGAAACTACGTCGTTTATTGCCAGACACTTAGCATGGTTCCTACCCCTGCCAGACACCTTTAAACCATGATAAATTGTAGTTATACTTTCGTCATAGTATAAAAGCTGATTTTTATGTATGTCACTTGGGGAACTATCAAAAGATGTTTCCTCACTTGCCAGACCGTTTCGATAGTTCTTTCATCATGCTAGACACATTAAAGGCCGAAGGTGCGAGCATGCAGAAACTGATAAAAATTATACGTTTGTTAGTTACTTATCGGAGTCAGCGGCCTTTACAAGCTGAATTCCAATTCCCTACAAAATTTGTTAATGCCAATGGCTATTCGCTATTCCACAAAGCCTATTTTTTGCAAAATTTGATAAGAAATATAAACGTAAAATTAAACTAAAAATCTATAAGAGTTTATTTGAGATAAAATTCTTTAGAATAAAATGCTTATGTCAATAAAATAAAAATCGAATAAGTTAATTAATAATGTTTTAGAGCCTTATGAATTTTTTTTTAATTTAATTTTATATATACATATATATTATATATGTATGCGCTGTATGGAACAATGCTCATCTCAAATATCCAACCACATATCGACTGCTGAGTGGAAGATCGACCTATCTCGGTAGCCAGTTCGAAAACGCCCTATCTTAGAATTTGTTTGAAGAACGCCCTATCAATTCGTCGGATTGTTTTTTTATTAATATTTATTTTTTTTGTGTACGTTACCGCATAACTTTGGACTACGGTAACCGATTACTAAAATTCTTTTTTTTAGAGGAAAGGGTTACCTCACAGGTGGCCCCATACTAATTTATTTTTAAATCCGATCATTGGATCATAGAAAAATTAACGATAATCTAAAATTTTTATATGAGAATTCAAAAATTACTTGTTTATGTAAGCATTTGTTGAAAATGCAGTCTTACATAGAAATATAAAAGTAAAAGTCACTAGTTGTTTTAATGCAATCTTGCCAACAGCAGTGTTTTCTGCATACACTTGCATCCAGAACTCTCTTGGCTCCCTTCGTATTATTTAATATTCAAAGTGCTGTCTTCACTGATGTCCAGAAGGTTTTCAAAAGCTTAATTTGTCATCTCAGTAGGTTTACTTTTCGGGTCACATGAACACGGGTTTGTTATCCAGCTGTAGACATCCTCAGAGTCAATGTTGGGAAAATATTCGACAATAGTTTTTTCTAAACCTTCCAAGTTAACGCTGATAATGCGCGTTAACGCTAAGAAAATAACTTTTACAGCCAATTTCACGAAAGCAATTTAAGTAAAAAATGATTTTAAGTTTTTGAATTTTATATGGAAATTGACAGAAAATAAATCCATTTAAATTGCTGGTGAAACCGGCTGTTATCAATTTTCTTAGCGTTCACTTCGAAGTTACATACGTTCTGATTTACTTGTTTATTTATACCGGTTTCATGCAAATCGCTGGAAATACTAAAATATACATTTCACCAATAAAAAAATCTTGACGTGCTAGAAAAAACCAAAGATGTATTTTAATTTCACAGGCCTCTGTTATCTTCGCAGCGTCATCCAATACGGGGTTTAAATCTAGTGGCGGCATCTTCCTAGTCGTCAGGGAATACCGACGGATCATACAGTGACTTCTCGTGGCGTTTTCTGCCTCTTGCTTCATCCTAGACATCGTTCCTTTTTTTCCAACCACTGCAAATATCCAGACACCATTTTTCTGTACAAATTTGTCGACAGCTTTAAAAATATCGTTGCTAGTGGTGTAAGTCTCCAGTACTTCGCTCATCAAAAGTTCTTCTTCGATTTGCATTGCGAATGGGTACCTTACTAACACGAGAAGAACATTAAGTTCACTACGTCGGTACCTTCATCAAGTTGAAAACTAAACAATTCATAAGTTTTCAAACTTTTTATAATTTCGTTCTCGACTGCCTCTAAAATCGTGTTGATTCGCTCTTTCGCAGTGTGATTGTGAAGTTCCAAAGAATAAGTAACATATACATGTGCGCGAAGCTGCTGCGCTTGTTACGAGAACAGCCCAGCCAGCAAAAGATCCGAAAATTAATCCGAAAACCGGAAGAAAAGTGGATGAAACGCGGATTAGGTCTACAAAAGTACCGAAAATGGTTGTGAAAAGGGTATGATTTCTGCTATTATTCTGACAATTTTTTGATTCAATTTTTCGTTGACAAAACGTACTGGGGAACTACGCTTAAGAGCGAAATACACCACACAAGCTGCTTGACAAACCAAGCGAAATATCCCTTTGCCGCAAGCCATTTGTGTTGTGTATGGGTTTTCACGAGGCGCTGAAGGTAATTTTAATAAAAAACTAAATTTTTTGATTTTCTGGCCACCATGTTGAAGTTTGATCAAGCCGCTTGCGTTGTATATGGAAAGTTTAAAGAATTTGCCCGCACCACTAGTATACTCTAGCCCAGTGATTCCCAAAGTGGTCCAGGTGGACCTCCAGGGGTCCACGGAAGACTCGACGGGGTCCACGGTGACGTGAAAAAAATTTGGGGGTCCATGAGTTGTAAAGCTGCACTTACGGCATTGACCAGCCCTCTATATAAGTATTTCCAAACTAGTTCGGCAATGCAAGTCTCGACTAAAATATGATGGTGAACGTAACGAGGTTGTTTTACTCTGGGTGCCAGGTCACCAGTGTTGCCAGGAAATCGGAAACAGCAATCCCTTTTTTTGGCTGCAAAATTTCAAAAAATCCCGTTTTTGAGTTCGCTTTTCCCCGAACATTTTCCCTTTCAGCAAAAAACCAATTCAACATAAATAGATTTTATTCCGCAAACAAATCGTATACTTAGATGTGCATACAAAGATAAAAAATATATAATTTATTTCACGTTAAAAAGAAATAATTTAATTGCATACATCTTAATTTATCTAGAAATGTGAGATGTTATCATACATTGCATTTGAAAAATATTTTTCTACCTTAAATTTGACACAAGTTTGTTCTTTGACAAGAGTTTTAGTGTGGAGTATTCCACAAAGAGTATTATTTTCAAGGCGGTTTCTAATTTTAGTTTTGTTTAAATTAATAGCTGAG